TGTTTGGATTGTTTATTTCGGCATTATGGTATTTAACTCAGGCATGCTTGGTATAGAAAGAAGCCTTAGAAAAGTGAATGATTTGAATTCCTGAATGATAATACATGCCCAATGCTCAATTGAGCCTCCAAATCCCTTGATAACAGTAATGGGTAGAAAAGTGGCCTTATGTTTGGGATTTGCAGTCCTCGTCTATTATCACCTTCTGTCAAATGATAAAATTGTAACACAATAGAAAGAATTCTAGGACAGTTTTATACACACAAAAGCTGCATATCTGTGTTTGCTTTGGGCCTAAGCTGTTAAGATGGTGGTGGTGGTTAATTTGTAGTGTATAGACAGTTCTCTCTCTCTCTCTCTCTGTGTTGCATTGATATCACACCATGCAATTTCTTCATGAGGAGTGTCAATGACTAACAGATGTATTTATCTGAATTTCAAAGCTGACTTTTTTTCTGAAGACATTGGCTACCTTCTATCTGTAAATATCACCTCTAAGATTGCTTATTCGAAATTGGATTTTACACATATTCTGATGAAATTTGTATCCTTGAATGAAATTTGCTTTAGGAATAATATACATACATGTTCCCTGCAATTGCTTTGAATTGGACTATACAAGAGTACAAACACCATCAAGAACGAAAGACCACCAAAAGTACCCATCACTGTTTAGAATTCTATCATATCAAATTAGTTTCAACTTATTTATGCCCTAGGTTTTTTTTTTTTTTTTCCTGAAATGAAAGTAGTGAAATTCTGTAAAAGGATAACCCAACGGTCATCCAATAATGAACTTATTATTGTTCTCAAAATCTCAAAAACTTAGTCATGATAGGGGTGGTTAGGGTAAGCTTGTTGGAACTCCAGTGATGGCTTGAAAATATATCTGAAGAGCTCTTCACCATTGTTCGGCCCACTAGGTTGGGGTTCTCGTTGCATATCTTTGTGGCATAAGAACTGTATGAGACCAACCAGTGCCATAACCGCAAAGAGAGGCCCAACAAATGCAAGAATGTCAATGAACTTGGAACCATACTTAAAAAATACTAATATGACCAAAACAAAAATTATGCAGAGTAGATATCTCCAAAGATTTTCTTGTATTTTCTGTGTGTAAGATGAGTTAATTTGAACCCACTAAATTAATTAGGTCCAATAGTCCAAGGTTGGTGGGTCCAAATTTATCGCAAGTCCAAGATTGGTGGATCCGGATTTATTGCCATCAAACGGGCCGAATCGCTCCAAGCCTTGAAAGGGTTCGGATCCACGAACTTAGAGACTTACTCGGGCACGGACTCGAAAGGGTATTGAGCAAGCCTAGAGATCCGAGACACTCAGGCTTCGAATAGATTCGATCATAATCTAGAAGCCACTCCATTGGTGAGTCCCAAAACACTTGTGGGCTCGGAGCTTTCCGGGATCTACGCACCAGAACCATGGGCGTAATGGAGTTCGAACAAAGGACCCGATCCCGAGGATGGTGAGTGGAGATAACTTCACTCTTCGGTTAAACTAGCCTATACCCGAGTCGAGGTGGCACGATCCCGGGGGATCCATAAGACTCGGCAATATTTAACGGCATGAGGTCTTCTAGGACTACCTCGGCCCTTTAGGATGATTGGGGATCATTGGTTAAGTGTGGCTAAGAAGAAGGGTTCGTCGAGAGGTTGCTCTCCTTTTCGAGAGTTTTTCTTATCTTCGAAGAGGTCACCTCCTCGGACAAGGTGATTAGAGAGAATAACATGGACTCCATCCTATATCACGAGGTGCTTATAAATAGCACTCACCCATAGCTTTACAAGGGATAGATTTTGGAGAGATAACTTTTGGGAAAGAACTAATTTCCCTTTTCCATTATCAACCTTGAGAATGAAAATGGGAGATCCACGGGAAAGCCTTGCCATTATTCTCTCTCTAACTGCTTTGTTTTCTTCTTTACCCAATCTCTTATCTCCATCATTTTCTTTCTTTTTTGTTCTTAGTTGAGACTATTAAAGAATCTAAGCCTTTCATCATATCTAAAAAATTCGAATTTTCTCTTCGAAGATCTTCGAATTTTTCAATGACGTTCTTGAACCCTCTTATACATTTGGCAACTCCACTGGGGACACGGATTGGTTAATGGTCTCAACAAGATCTGGAACCCACACAACTCCAACAAGGATAGCGAGAGAAGATGAAGTTCATCAACAAGGATCCTCTAGTGGTGGTGATGACAGGACCATGGCTCCAGATCAACCACTTTTACTCGAAGCCATTCAAGGACTTCAAAATACTCAGCAGGAGATTCTTACCACTCTTCAGAATCTCACTCACATGATGTTGGTGATGAGTTCTAATTTTGCACCAGCACCAAACGGAGATCAAACTGGCGGTGGAGTTACCCCGTTGGAGTGCAAAATCATATCCAATGAGAAGTAAGCCCCAGTCAGCCTGTGGCTCATGGCAACATAACCACAGTAACACATGCTCAAACCACAGTAGGCGGCAGTAGTTTGCCCACGCCCGAGATCCATGGTGTGCCAAACCAAGATCCAATGGTGACTAGGGGAGGTTCTGGTGTAATGAAGGGCACTCCGGCGACTGTTGGTGTCCAGGAAAATATAAGGGGCGTGATGGCGCAAAAGGGAGCTCTGGCCGTACCTAATCTTGTTACACCACCAGTAAATGTTACTCAAGTATCAAGCGAGCCTCCTTTGGTGCCGACAACAAATTTGCAAGCCCAACCCGGTATAGTTGCACTGTGTGGTGGACTTTACGGGCCTCAATTCAATGTCCCATCACCAACTGGCTTGTCTATAGGCGTTGATGGTCAGTATCATCAAGTGTCTTCACCAATGATGAATTCTCAACACCATAATGACCAAGTCACTCCTAGCTCAGTTTTCAGGTCCATAAGCCAAGTTCCGGGAATGCCGCCACCAAACTCTCTCCCTTAACAGTTTCTTACTCTTGCCGATGTGCAAGCCATGTTCGATCTCAAACAAGGCAAGAGGACTTTACCATCTTTGCCCAATCCGGATGTTAAGCCACCCTTACCCTATTGAGATGTTGAGTTATCCATACCCGAAGGAGTACACGGTGCCGAAGTTCATCAAATTCGATGGCAAGCAAGGAAATGCTCGAGAACGTGTTATGCAGTTCATCGAGACTCTGGGTATTCATGGTTCAAACCACGACCTCCGGCTGAGAGAATTTTCTAAGTCTCTCACTGACCAAGCATATAGTTGGTATGTTAATTTGGCCCCAAACTCTGTCCGAAGTTGGGAGGAAATGGTTAACAAATTTCACTCCAAGTTCTTTCAAGTGGCAGAGAAGGTGACCACACTTACATTGTGTAAAGAAAAACAACGAGAAAGTGAAGACATCCTTAACTACGTCAAAAGGTTTCAAGACAAGGCTGTGGATTGCCATGAAGTAGTGGAGGAGAGTTATCTAGTTCAAATCTGTCTAGAGGGGGCATTGAGCAGGTGCAAAATGTTTCTAGTTAATCATAAGCTACCCACCTTCTCAACACTAACAGAAGCAGCTCGAAACATTAGCACTCCTCAGGCTCAAGAGTCCAGATTTAAGGCCAGTTACAAGACTAGTTTCAAGTTGTCTCGTGGACCTATTGTTGCTGCTGCCTCTGCCCCAAATACCTGAAAGTCACAAGGAGGGGGTCATAGAGACAAAAGATGAAGCAATATAGTGGTGAAAAAGGCAATGTTTCTTATCCATGTGGAATCGAGGAAGTAAAAGCTATAGTTAAGAAATGGGTGGCCAACGGAGAGCTAAAATTGCCTTATGTCGAAGAAATTCTATCAAAGAAGGACCACGAGAGCCCCGAGTTTTGCGTCTATCATCGCACATTGAAACATCCGACAAAGAAGTGTTGGACTCTCAGGAAAATCTTCAGAGATAAAGTCGAGGCAAACAAATTGAGGTTCAAAAAGAGACTCAAGACATCCGAGAACAACCATATCCTCAACATCGAGACAAGGGCAAGAATATTGCTATGATAGCTTATGAGGGCCCGATGATTGAGGCTATCTTCAATCTCGATGACGATGATTGTTATCTAGACGACATCTTCAAGCCCGAGGGTGAGCAAGTTTACTATGGAAGCAAGCCCGGCCCTGAGATTTCCGGGGCCCAAAGCCAGTAATCAACTAATAAATTTTTGGGGCCCTTCACATTTTTTTTTTTCATTGAATGAAAAAAAAATGAATAAAAAAATTTGAAGATAAAAGATAAAATATTTGTATCAAAATCACAAAAAATACTTATTACATTACAACAATTAATAAGTGTCGTTTGATTCTCGCTCTTCTTGCATTTTTAGAAGCAAATAAATCAATCATACTTGCATAATCTAGTTTTTTTGCAAAATCATTTTCAATGGATAACAATGCTAATTATTTTAAATGGGCCTTTCAATTTTTTAATGGGTCAATTTATTTTAAGTTAGTTTGGATCTTCTTTAATTTTTTTTTTTTTGGATTTAAAACATACCTAATATATTACAATAAACTATAATACGAGGGGACCTTTTTTTTGGGGTCTATTTTCAATGGATAACAATGTTAATTTTTTTGAATGGGCCTTTCAATTTTTTAATTGGTCAATTTATTTTAAGTTAGTTTGGGCCTTCTTTAATTTTTTTTTTAACTTAAAACATACCTAATATATTACACTAAACTACAACAGAATGATATATTACAATAAACTATAATACGAGGGGACCTTTTTTTTGGGGTATATTTTCAATAGATAACAATGTTAATTTTTTTGAATGGGCCTTTCAATTTTTTAATTGGTCAATTTATTTTAAGTTAGTTTAGGCCTTCTTTAATTTTTTTTTAACTTAAAACATACCTAATATATTACACTAAACTACAACAGAATGAGCCCTTTTTTTGGGTCTATTTTGAGGGGCCCTAAGCCATGGCCTTGTTGGCCCATGCCTAGGACCGGCACTGTATGGAAGTGCTCTCAATCCAGAGGGCAAAACCTTTATGACTTATGTTGAAGGTCCCTTCGATCCAGAAGGAGGAGAAGAGTACTGCGGAAGAGGAGGACATCATGTTTATGTGGCATCTTATTTTGAAGAGACCAAGGAGATGGTTAACTACGAGCCTCCAAGAGTGGAAAAAGATTTGGATCACTATGCCAAAACCCTGCAAGACTGTGTAAAGTTCAAGCAATTATTCGACCAGCTTGGACTTTCTAGGGAGGCAAGAACAAAAATCACCAAGGCTATCATCAATATAGCCGAGGCACACCATAAGGAATGCATGTCGATTAAGGGATCTATCCCGAGAAAGGCAAAAGAGCAATCTAGCGCCATTACTTTCTTCGAGACTAATCGGAAGTATCCCTTTTCTCACAACCGCACACTTTATGTGACTGTTTTTTATTAATGGGGTCGAGTTCAAAAGAGCCTTTCTACACAGTGGAGCCTCTATCAACATTATGACTCGCGCTACTCTAGAGAAGGCCGGAATCTCTGAAGAGCGCATTGTGAAGCAGTCGATAGTCATCATTGGCTTCGGTGGAGAAAGAAGAGTTACTATAGGATGCACAACAGTTGATTTAGCCATTGGAGAGATTTGCTCGGCCACCAAGTTCCATATTATCAATTCCGAGGCAAATTATCACATCATTCTAGGGAGGACTTGGATGCATAGATATGGGGCTGTACCGTCGAGTTATCATCAGTGTGTTAAGGCTAAATGGGAAAAGAAGACAGTGACAATTTAGGCTATAGAAGGGCCTTTTGAGACCTATGAAGCTCATTATTTTGATGCCATCTACTTCACCGAATTGTTTGTCGAAGAAAATGATGAAAGTTCGAGAATGGGGCAAGATGGTGTACTATTTGTGAAGGTGTGGGGAGTTAGTTTCTATAGTCACTAACTCCGAGTCAAAAGAAGAGCCTCTTGACAATGACATAGTAATAAAGCCTGAAGTGGCTCCAAAATACATGCAAGATGGGCCGAAGCCTCAGCCCGAACAACTTATTGAAGTAGATTTGTGTGATGGACAAGATACTCCAAGGCCAATATTCATAAGTTTGAGCCTTAGCCCAGAAAAGCAAGAGCAGTTGTTAAAATTGATAACCCGATACTCAGATGTGTTTGCCTGGTCATATAAGGAGATGCCCGGACTAGATCCCGACCTAGTCTCTCATTATGTTGATGTGTTCCCAAACTCCAAACCAATCATGCAAGTTGCTCGAAAATATCATCCAGATCTCGAAGAGAAAATTAAGGAGGAGATTGAAAAACTTCAACAAACAGGTTTCATCCGGCCAATACAATACCCCACGTGGTTAGCAAACATAGTGCCAGTGAAGAAGAAGAATTGTCAAATCAGAGTATGTGGAGACTTTCGAGATTTGAACAAATCTAGCCCGAATGATGAATTCCCTCTACCTCACATTGACACTCTCGTGGATGCTACCTCAGGACACCAGATGTTCTCATTTATAGATGGATTCAGAGGATACAATCAGATTAAGATGGCCGAGGAGGACGCAGAAAAGACTACTTTTAGAACACCTCTCGGAAACTTCTTTTATATAGTCATGCCTTTTTGAATCAAGAATGCCGGAGCAACTTACCAAAGGGCTATGACTGCAATCTTTCATGATATGATCCATCAAGAGGTGGAAGATTATGTTGATGCTCTAGTGGTGAAATCCAAGAAAGAAGATGATCATCTCTGAGACCTTGAGAAAGTGTTCAAAAGATGCCAGAAATTCAAAATGAGGATTAATCCTCTCAAACGTGCTTTCAGGGTGATGGTCGGGAAGTTTCTCAGGTTTCTTGTACATAGGCATGATATCGAGGTAGATGAAGACAAGGTCAAATCTATCAGAGCAATGTCTCTCCCGCATTCTCAGAAGGAGTTAAAGAAGTTCCTCGGGAAGGTGTCTTATATTCGGAGGTTTATCCCAGCACTTGCAGAGATTTCTGCCCCCTTTGGCTCTTTGTTAAAAGGAGATATCAAGTTCGAGTGAGACCAAGAGCACCAAAAGGCCTGTGAGAGAATCAAGGCGGCCTTGACCTCGCCTCAGACCATGATAGCTCCGCAACCCGGGGTACCTCTAATTTTGTACCTAACCTCAACCCCCAAGTCCATAGGGGCATTATTGGTCCAAGATGTAGATGAAGTAGAACGCCCGGTGTATTACATCAGCCAGAAGATTCGAGAAGCAAAAGTCCGATATACTCCGGTAGAGAGACATTGTTTAGCTTTGGTATTCACCGCCCAAAAGCTCAGACATTACTTCTTAGCACATCAGATTCAAATTATTACCAGAAGTGATCCAATTCAATACCTCCTCAGCAAGCCTGCTCTAACCGGGAAGGTAGCAAGATGGTTGTTAGCACTGGGTGAATTCGAGATCACGTGTGTAGCTCTCCAGGCAATCGAAAACCAAGCCTTAGCCGATCTCCTTGCCCAATTTCCAAGTGGTGACTATGAACCAGTGAGTGAAGAATTGAAAGGAGAAGTGCATGCAGCCATGGTTTCTGAGGAAAGCTTTTGGACATTAAGCTTTGACGGAGCAACAGCCGAAGGGAAAGGTGTTACTGAGATAGTCCTTACAAGCAAAAGTGGAGAAAAATTGTATTTGTCTTACAAACTGGACTTCTATTGTTCGAATAATGAAGCCGAATATGAGGCTCTTATTTTGGGCTTGATAGCAGTTGAGAAGCACAGTATCAAGAAGATTCGAATTTGGGGGGACTCGAAGCTGATAGTGAAGCAAGTTTCAAGACAATTCGTTTTAAAAGAGCCTACCTTGGCCACATATCGCACGACAATCCAAAGGCTTCTTGACAAATTTCAGAAGGTCGAAATAGAGCATATGCCTCACTCCGACAACAAGTTTTCAGATGCCCTCGCAACACTAGGGGTAAGAGTTGACATTCTCGAGGAAGAGGCAACAATCGCTATTAAGAAGAGAACAAAGCCTTCAATAATACCCGAGGACAAAAACCTTTAGGAAGACTGGAGAGGAGAAGTCCTCAAACAACTCAGAAGAAAAGTTGGAAAATTGACTATGGGCAAACTTGCCCAGTTCATAATTATTCAATGTGAACTTTACTTCTGAGGAAGTACCGGATTCCTAGCCTGGTGTGTTGGCCAACAAGAAGCTAGCTTTCGACTACAACAGATTCATGAAAATTCCTACGAGGATGGGGATATTAGTATGTACAAAATGATACAAAGACAAGGCTATTATTGGCATGAGATGGAGAAGGCCTTGAATCAACTACAGAAAGAATGCCCCAAATGTCAGTCATACATCCGGGAGGATGAGGGTTGCTTTGAAATTGATACCCCTAACTGGAGACAAGTCTGGCTATCTCAAGAAATGGACACTACCTGAGAGCCCGGGGGACATTGCACACCTCAAAAGGAAGGCGAGACGGTACTTTTTTGATTAGAATAAGCTTTACAGAAGAAGCATTGAGGGAACTCCCCTGAGGTGTCTCTCGAAGGAGGAGTCGGATCTAGTCCTCAAAAGAGCCCACGAAATTGAGCACCAAAGAGGGGCTTGGCTGTTCGAGCAACACATACACCTTGGGTATTATTGGCCGACCATGGAGTCAAATACATCCCATCACGTAAAGAGGTGCCAAACTTGTCAGAAACACGGAAATTTGATCCATTCTCCAGTCGTAGACCTACATAGCATCCGAACGCCATGGTCGTTCCATACCTGGGCTTTTGACTTGATAGGGCCCATCTCCACACCTTCCAAATGGTACAAGTGGATTCTCGCAGCTACGGAATTGAGCACAAAGTGGGTCGAAGCAATCCCTCTGAAGAACGCTACAGGGCCCACAGTCACGAACTTCATCAAGGAAAATATCATTTGCCGGTTCGGAGTACCGAACACCATCCTCTCAGAAAACGGCACGCCCTTTATAAACAAATATGTGAAAAGCCTTTTAGAGACTTACCAAGTGAAGCATCACAAATCCACGGCCTACTATCTAAAAGGGAACGGGCAAACGGAGGCCACAAACAAGGCACTGATAAGGATTCTGAGCAAGATGATGGATGAGTTTGGGGGAACTTGGTCCGAACAGCTGATAGTAGCCCTATGGGCGTATCGCACTTCAAAGAGAAAGCCAACTCAAGCAACTCCTTACTCCCTTGTGTATGGGTCCGAGGCAGTGTTACCTATAGAGTTGGAAACGCCATCTGCTCGAATGGCTCTCGCCTCGGGGATGGTATTGGAGCCTCGAACCACCAGATTGGAAGCATTAGAGGAAAAGCATGACAGAGCTGCAAAAGTCATGGAAAGGTATCATGAGTCCATTGCCCGAGCCTATAACCAGACTGTGATACCAAGGAAGTTTGAAGAAGGTGATCTAGTATGGAAGATTGTAGACCCAATCATGCGAGGACAGCCTTTGCCCAAGTTTTCTCCAAAATGGGAAGGGCCCTACAAGGTGGTTCAGGCGAGCTAAAGCGGGTACTACAAACTTGTAAGGGTTGAAGACGACTTCCGAACTGGCCCGCGACGGAGCAGCAGCCGGAGGGAAAGGAGGAACCGGGATAGTCCTTACAAGCAAAAGTGGGGAAAAGTTATATTTGTCTTATAAACTGGATTTCCATTGTTCGAATAACGAAGCCGAGTATGAGGCTCTTATTTTAGGCTTGATAGCAGCTGAGAAGCACAGCA